TAAAACAGTGCAGATTTGACAAAAAGCAAAAGGTACAAATATGAGATTTCTAAAGAGCACTACAGCACTTGAACCAAGCATCCAACGTGAATTCCAAAATATGAGAAGGATGAGGTATGGAGCATGCTCTTTTAAGACTTCTAACAGCAAAATTAACGTAGAGACTACATAACTTGAACCACAAAAATACAAAACGAAGCACAAAACCCTTTTTCTGGTGGCATCTGAGTCAGATGCCAAAAAGGAACACGCATTAGTCCACGCTACTTTGGATTGTTACCTAGCAGAACCCATCGTCAACATGGACGTATACTCTTTGGAATAGTGACTGAAGCATGAACAAGCATGTTTCAGGTGAAACTGTCAAGAAGCAGTGAGCAGCATTATCTCTTGCAAACTTCTTTGTCTCAGTAATTGGCTGAACAAGAAGTAGAACTGAGTGGACTTGTACGCTGAAGTTTTACAACTTGTTTGTGAGTGCTATTATATTTTGTACAAAATTCTACATTTGTAAGTTCAACTTTACGGCAGAGATTGTGCTAGAGTACTTGTGTTATATGTAGGGATGTAAAACCCTTCTTAATTGGTCAACCAATTAAATGTTCAGGCCAAGTGGCTGATTAAACAGGGGTGGGATGGTACCTGCTCCAACCTTGCTGGGTTGGAGTCCCCCCCCGCCTCCCAGCCACAGACAGGGTCTGCTCTGGCTGGGTTAGAGCACCCCTGCCTGCAGCAGATGCAACAAAACTACAGCAGCCCCCTGTCCATTGCAAGCGGAGGGCTACGCCAGCCCTTACAGATTAACTGTAACTGGTAAGCCTCTCTCATTAAGAGTGAGGCTGACTAGTTAACCATTAACATCCCTAGGTAGAAGAACTGAAAAATACAATGTTTTTGTTTTTTTACACTGCAAATGCTGATAATAAACACTGAAGAAATTTTTTTTTGAAAATGTAGAAAACATCCAAAATATTTAAATAAAAGGCAAGTAAATGGTATTCTATTATTGTTTAAAAAAATGAATTGTGATTAATTGTGCTGTTAATCACTTGACAGCCCTAGAAAAAGGTGTGTTTTACAATGGACAAAATGAGAGAATGCACGATTATCTCTCTTGAAAAAGTTTATAAGCTTTCATGGAATGGTGTTTTCATGATGCCTGAATTTTTTCAAGTAAGTGTAAATGAACAAGGAGAAAAAGATTGAGACTTTATAAATGCATTTTGCTTCAGTGCGTGACGTCAATAAATATTTGCTGAAATAGGCATTGTTTACACTAAGAAAAGCTAAACATGGATAGAAAACCAGTTAGTGCTAACTTTGCTAATTTACTGTATGTATAACCATATTAATTGTGACAAGAATGAGAAGTCTCACCCAACACCCTTCCTTCCTCCCAATGTAATGGCAAATGCTGATTTTTAAATTATATTGATTAAATAAACTAGGGGGCTATGGCCCCTATTCGCCAACTCCCCTCTGTCCACTGCAGCTGGATTTTGGCCTCTCCTGCTACCCATGCCATAGGAGGAGGGGGGCTGCTAGCAGTCCTTTCTGTGACAAGATCGGGGGTGGACCATGTAGCCTGCCCCAGGATTGAGACTGAGGACAAGATGCTGCAGACAGATGCAGGCTAGGACCCCAACTGGAGCCTCATTGGCCAGGCTTAATTTTAAATAAAATATTACGTCCAACACAAAAAGTGTTCAACATTGTTTTTATTAATGGCTGAAGTGGGAAAACGTTTTCGCGGAAGGGGGACACTGACCCCCAGAAAAATCAGTTGTGGACCTCCAGGCCCCCTCCCCAATGTGGCCCCCAAATGAAACACCTCACTCCTCTGGTGCTCCAGCCCCATGGGGAGAGGGTATATTAACTCTTCTGGAGTTCCAGGGTTAGTGGATTTTTGAGGGCTCTGTGGTGGGGCCAAAAATGAGGTGTTCAGTGTGTGGGACAGAGCTGCCAATGATTGGGATAGGGGTGCAGGATCTGGGCAGGAGGCAGGGTGCAGAAGGGGCTAAGGTTGCAAGGTCTATGTGGGGGAGATAGGGTGCAGGAGTGGGCTGAAGGCAGGGTGTCTGCCCAGGGCAAAAGGATACAGGAGTGGGCTGGGGGGAACTTACTGGTCTTCAGCATAGCTTCTCACTACTCCCATTAGATGGATTTCAGGAGTGGGCTGGGGGGAACTTACTGGTCTTCAGCATGGCTTCTCACTACTCCCATTAGACGGATTTCGGTCAATGGGAGCACAGGGAAAGGCTCCAGCCAGCATGCCTGCACGCTGCTGTTACCCCCAGCCTACAAGGGGGAGTGCTTCTTCGCTGGGCAGCAAGACTCGGGGCTTTCTCGCTCCCCGCAGTGGGAAACCAGCCTAATGCTCCAACTGAGAGCAACAGGAGGGAGGGCGAGGCTGCAGTGCCAGACAAAGGGGGCCCGGACCACTCTGGCCAGGGCTGCTAGGCACCCCAGTAGCCCCTGCACAGTACTGGGAGCAAGTGGCAATCCTACTAATGGGCAGAAAAGGAGACATATATGAAAGCACATGAGAAGCCAGGGAGTAAGGAAGGATTTTGGAATAACAGAGCAGATGCTTTAGCCAAACAAGGGGCCCTGTTAACACAAAGTGAGGAAGAAGAGGCGGCAAGTAGTGTAGTAACCAGAGCACAAAAACAGGTGAGAAGTCCAAAGACATTGGATCTGCAAAAAGAAAGAAGTAAATGAAAAAGAAATAAAGGAACACCAAGAAGGAGGAAAGACCCAGAAGAAGAACTCACCTCCAAGACACAGCCTAAGACCAGAGCTGCCAGGACTCAGCATCTGCACATCACAGTCATGTAGAGAAGATCCAGAGAGATGAACTATGTCTGGCCAACAGGGGAAGTCTGTCTGCCTTGATCAGGATTGGGGAGCATGACACTGTGTGTTTAGCATGTGTATTCTGCTTGCATTGGAATTTTCAATAAATAGAGAATAAGAATATTACTGTGTAAGGCTCTTTCAGTGGCAAAAGATTCTGCAAACCCACAGGAACTTACTCCCTGAGCCCTAGGACGCAGGTATGGGTGGGTGTGTAAATGAACATGGTTGCACCTTGGGCTCTAGGAATTGGGTAAAGGTATATGTCCCTAAAATGTAGAAGGGAGAGAAATTTGTGCTGGTAAAGCATCCTTTCCCACCTTTTAGAAGCACCGCTCACTGCTGCAGCCCCACGTGTAGCTGGGCAGGAGGGAACTTGGGTCTCACCGGGATGGCTCAGCACTGGGCTCAGGACGTGGCCACTCAGAGCACCACGGAGGATAGAGCAGTGGGGGACTGGGGCGATGGCGGGGCCCTCACCCTGTGCTTCTCCTAAGCCCCAGGCCTCGCACCAACCAAAGCAGCCCCTGGGCTGGGAGACAGGCCACCCAAAAGGCTGCGCCAGGACTGAGCAGGCAGGACCCATGGAAGGTAGAATTTGCCAAGGTTGGGCTACCAGGCAGCTTTTCCAGTCCTCAAACAGTGGGATACAGAGTGACGTAATGATATTACTCTGTCGTCCCACAGGAAGGGGGGAGGGGAGGAGAAGAGGTTTTACACAACATAGATATATAATGAAATATACATCTTTCATATGTATTGGACGGGGTATTCAATAGCTCATTTAAAAAAGCCTACTTTATTGTAGTTTATTGTAGCTACAACCTACTTATGTTAATAATTGCTAGAGAATGCAAATTATCTAATAGAACACAGTATTCCTTGGCCACAAAAAACTAAAGAATCAAGGTTAGTTTAACAGCAGCACTGAATGAAGTACAGTGAACACTCATGTTAATTTGCTAAAACAGAGAAAACTGTGTGCAAGATATTTAATTTAAAAGACATGCAAGTTTTCATTGCAATTGAAATCCATAAAGAAAAGCTAAAGGATTGCAAGGTGCAAAATAAATGAAGAAAGGGCTCGCCGAACCAGGCTCTTCCGGGTTACAATCTACTCGCCATAGGCCATAATTTGTTGAGCCCTGTTTATAAGTATTGGTCTGACATTTAAGGGGCTTATTAAAAACTATGAAAATACCTTTCAGGAACAATGGATCAAAAACATTGAACCAGATTGCCCCCACTTGTTTAGAAAACACCACAGAAAAATAAGTGTGTGTGTCTTTTTCTGGTTTCTTTGGAGAGAGAATCTCTCTCCAACCAACTTCTTTGGAGAGAGAATTTCTTTGGGCAAAGGTAAGAATTTCAAAGGCAGCACACTTCCAAATCTGCTGATTTTGAAGAACAATGAGAAAAAAAATTCCTTGAGGTCTCACGGGCCAATGTGCAAAGATAGCTTTTGGTCCAATGACCAAACTATCCTTAGGAATACAGCTCCAGCTTTAACTGCACTGACAGCAACATAGAGCTGCTTAACATAAGCAGCAGAGAGGACATCAGAACCAATAAAGCTTCAAATTATATTATCTTTTGACCATATTTTCACATGGAAATCCAGGCGCACAGCCTGACCTCTGTTACTCTACCCCCACCACCAATTAGTGAAGTCCTGCAGGTTCTATTCATTCATGGAAATTCACTAGACCCAGAGAAGGACATAGAATAGTGTCAGAGAAGCAGCAATGCCCCCTTCACACAGTCAACTCCAAAAAATTGTCTGAACTTTAAAAAAAAAACTACACATGGAAGTCCTACTTCCAAAGAAAACTGTGTATAATTTTTCCATTGACTTCAATGGAATGACGAGTGAGAATTTCCAAGAAATCTGAAAAAGTATTAGTGAACAGAGATGCGTGCTCTCTATTTACATACAAAATTACCTAATTATGCTTGAAATTTTAACTCTGAAGTAGCAAGCTCTATGGTAACCTGCCAACATTCATCTCTCTCTCTCTGCCAACATTCATCTCTCTCTCTCTCACACACACACACACACACACACACACACACACACAGTCAGTAGAGTGTCTGTAAGTGGATAGGTTAGACAGTTAAGATAATTTACCAGGGGGGGAAAAATAAGCAGATAAAACAGTATCTAGTTTATTACATATAGAAAGATTTCCAGAATTTACAAACACCCACATTTTTCATTCCAGGAAGAATTTTGATTTGAAGACTTCACCCATGTTTCTGGGGTCTATTTTTTTCCTTTTTTCTCCTAACAATATATACAATGGAAGACTTTTGATTTATTTTTTCTGCTTTTTGTAAGTTTCTGTGCAATAGATGAGCTCAGGTTGACACTTGTAAATACCATGTACAGTAATTTTATCTTCATTTGCGTTAATAGACTATTTTACAAGGAGTACAAAATTATTATTTTTCTCTTGGAAACAATTTAGCTCAACATCAGGGTTATTTTACAACTGATAGGATCAGTAAATAATATGACTGTACAATCAAGGCCCTTGGGCCAATGATTCATATTATATTATTTTCTGAATTACAATCTTAAAACAAGAATAGTACCCTACTCTATTCTTATTAGCCTTGTTTTAAGCAGGTTCCCCACTCTGTTTACAACAGAATATAGTATACCTCAGTTCCACATCAAAAAAGATGTGCTGTAGGAAAAAGTTATTTTTAATTAAAAAAGTACGTGTATAAATCAAAACCTATGTTAAATATTTAATACTCTTCAACCAACATTAACAGTTTTGTATGTAATAATTTACAATGATGATTTGTCATACAGGTTTTCAGCAGCAAATGAAATGTATTATGTAAATGTGCTAGTACAATACCCATTCTCACCATGACAGTGGTGGGCACATCAGTTCACTGTGTCCAGCTAAGTCCTTATGGTAGAGGATGAAGTAATAGAGACTCATTGTCCAGGTGTCACAGTGCTTTTGCTTGGCACAACATAGAATGTGCAGTTCAGTCAACTAACTCCTGAGGTTTGTGTAAAGTAAACAAACTGAACTGGATGCATCGTACCCATCTATGGACGAGGAGGAGGATGTGAGGTCCTAGTTGTGATTCATGTAACATTTATAGTCTGGATACCCATGAGTTAAAAGAAGGATTTGCTGAGGTTGTATAGGTCATCTTTCTGAAATTGAAAGAGAAAGAAAATAACCATCACAGGCTTGTAAACACACTGCTTATAATTACTGCTTTGAACAAACAAAATATGACATGTGATATTCAAATTTCCGTATTTAGCAGCTTAGAAAAAGAAGGATATACATGAACTATAATCAAACATGTAAGAATCACTAAACCATCAAGGAAGTTAAACCATCAAAAATATATTTTAACCCATTTGAGAGATTCGCCTGTGGAAAAAAAAGAAAACAATTTAAAATGTGTATATTGATACAGTGTTCTGACACCAATTTCTATACTGGGGGAATGGGGAGGAAGAAGGGGAGGGAAAGGAGTCCAGATCATTAGCCGTTTAGCATGTTGTATGCTCTCTGCGAAGAGGTTTTTGGTTAAATTCCACTTTCCTGACTACCTAAGGTACACAACTTCTTATATGAGCAGGTGCCATGCATCACCCAACAGGACTACCACTGCAAATTTTGGCCATTACCATGGAGCTAGAAGTCAGGACACACTGGTAATCTACACTGATGTCTTTTGAAAAATTTAGCTTATATCACTGACAGAAGATTGATGCCTCATCTATGTGAGGTGTTAGTCCACACTAGCAGGGTGTAAATTCTAGTCTAAACCAGCATCAACTAGTCCATGTTTACCCCTGGTGCTATGTACTAGATGTTCCTTGGTGCACCAGTACTATTAGAATTTGCATCCCACTGATGTGGACTAATGCATCGTATAGACAACATCTGATTTCCCAAAAGATACTGCAACCATAATTCTGCTTCTGAGCCTAACCTCCTTACTGAGGCTACGTCTAGTTTGCAAGCCTTTTTCAAAAGATACTTTCGAAAAAACCTCTTTCAAAAAAGAACATCTAGCCTACAACCAGTACTTTTGAAAAAGCAAGCTGCTTTTTCGAAAGAGCACCCAGGCAGTCTGGATGCTCTCTTTTGAAAAAGCACTGTTTGCATTACATAGCGCCTGTATTCGCAAGTGTTCTTTCAAAAAAAGGTGTTATTCTTCGTAAAACGAGGTTTTCCACCATCAAAAAAACCTGCCGCGTTCTTTCGATTTACTTTCAAAAGAACAAAGGAGCAGTCTAGACGCAGGGGAAGTTCTCTTGAAAAAAAGGCCACTTTAAAAAAAAACAAAAAAAAACCCCTGTAGTCTAGACACACCCTGATGGTAGAGCATCATTTTAACTAGGACTTTGACAAAGTGGCCCACCAGTGAACAATATCCCATATCACCACCACTATGTGTTTTAACTGTCTTAGTGGCACTTGGGGCTAAGTCAGAATTTATAAGCTAAGATTTAGATTTTATAATAGTGTATATTTTACGTAATGTACATTACTTATGCCCTAAAAAGATAGATTAATGATATATTTTCCCCTCCTGTAAATAAAGACTTCTCATAGGGACACTGAACTAAAAATTGAAAAGGCCTCCTGTTCTGTCCTCTTCAATTTCTCCAGAAACAGAATTTACTTTGTGTGGTCCTTCAAGTGAAAGGAAAGCCTATCCTTGCAAATGATGTGTGGTATGCTGTGAAAACTCCCTGGAGAATTCTCTCACAGATCTCTCATTTATTTTCAACTTTCTCTTCAACTCATATTGCAATCTAATGGAATGTTCCTACCAGAATCTCTATATACAGCTTAACATAGTTTCACAGCTTTCAACTATGTTGAACCTAAAAATAGTAATGCTATACTTTAATAAAGGACAAGTAACAAAGAAAAAAAAATCACCTAATTTAAATTGAGAAGTACTGAAATACGCATGATTTGCTTTTCATTTCATATATGGCTCTTCTCCAGCATAGCTGAATGAACTTAGTGCAAGAACAAACTGTACCTAATAGTAGGGTCACATGCTCCAACCTGCCCAGTGGAATGGGGAGGGAGATGTACAGTTTTTCTACTTATGTCAAGCTTGTTCTTTTAGGATATCTTCAATACACAGAGAACAATGTTCAGTGTCAAAAGAGTGGATCATCTATTATCTAATGTTTTTGTAATCTACTTCTACTCCCAAATCTGTCATAAAACGCTTATAAAAATCTTCTCTTGCTTCTCCAAACAACCAGTACCATCAAGACTTCTATGTAAAGAAACTTGGTGCAACTTCTGGACATTACTCTCCAGACTTCTGTACACAGAAAGAAGAGGAAAAAAGCATTTATTGGAGACAGGGAAATATTATCTAGTGAAATAATTCAGTAAGTTCAACATTCCTGAATAAAATAGAAAAGACTAGGTGCATAAGTCACCTAAACCTTTGGGAAAATGAAATGGGGGAAGGTTGGAGTAGGCTGTATATCTAGGAATTTCTGTAACTTAGGAGGACTCTCCAAATATATATGGAGCAGTAACTCAAGTACACTTTCAATGCATATTAATTGGCTCTCACTAGTTCCTTAGAAAAGCACCATGAAATGGATACGTATAGTAGTAGTAACATGGGTCAGTTTCAAATTTTCAATGTCTGCAAGGTTACAACGGGACATGATACTCTTGAAATTATTTTCTGAAGATTCTGGCCTCCTCTATGCTGATTAGGCCTCAACTGGAATACTGTGTCTAGTTTTGGACAACAGATTTAAGGAAAGATGTGGACAAAATGGATACCATCTGGAAAAGTGCAATAAATCAATTAAAGGCCTAGAAAACATGACTGGGGGAAGACTGACGGAACTGGTTTTGTGCTCTCTAGAAGAGAGACAACTAAGAGGGAACATAACAGCTTTCAAATTGTTACAAGGAAGAGGAAGAAAAATTATTCTCCTTAGCCTTTTATGATAGGACAAGGAACAATGTTTGCAGGGGATTGAATCTGACCTCTCAAGGTTCCTTCCAGTTCTAGGATTCTATGAGTTACAAGGAATCTAAAGCAGGCATCTGAAATGTTACGTATGCCCTACATGCAAAAAAGTAACGCACACAAGTGAACAAACACGTAACATTTCATTATCTGCTAAGGAAAGCTTACCTTAGAAAGCTGATATTTTAAAATTACCTACTTCTCAACTTGTTACCCTCCTCTGCCCAAAAAAATGTAACACACACACTGACAAGTCATATTATAACTGCACAACTGTGCTGCATGGTCTGATTCCACACACAACAAAAACAAAAGTTAACAGCCATATGCTTAACAGATGTGCTTTCTCAAGGTTAATATAGCATCATAACTTAAAAGCATAAATAGCGTTTTAGACCTGTGGAATTTGTGTACATAAAGTGCTTCACCACTAGGACGTCAGTTTTGACACACATTTTATTCTGGGATTGACTCCCATCTTGTCACACTTTTCCAATTCTAATATATTATATATATATATTCCCATCTTGTCACACTTTTCCAATTCTAATATATATATATTTTGGCCAGGGAGACTAGAACTGAAATGTCTGAATTAATGGACAATACGGAGTCTCATCACAAAGATCTCCAAACATCAGAAAGCGACAGAGAGCCTGAGTAGTTGGAGGTAGTAGCTATTGAGAAGACTACGTGGACAGACAAATGTAACTCTTCTTATATGAATGCAATCAAGTCAGCACCATAAGAACCAGAATGCCGGTTGAAAATTGTGATCTATAGTCTTGTAGGATGATTTAAGAGTAGTGCTCTTGGAAAGCCACTTAACATTGGGATGTGTAAAAACTGTGATGTTAAAATTGAGATGTTAAATTGTGATTAATTGGCTAATCAAGTGGTTGATGAAATTCCATCGACTACTCAATTAGTCAATGTTGGGAGGGGTACTCATTACAGCTGCGGCTCTGCAGTTTAAATGCAGTAGGAGCCGGATGTGCAGCAGCCAGGCTCCTAACTACATTTAAACTGAAGAGCCACAGAAGGGTTAGCCCCTGGCACTCCCAAATCATGCTGGCCCTGGGGGTAACCCACTGCACCTCTGTCTTTTAAATGTAGTAGGAGCCAAGTAGCTCTTACTACATTAAAAGGCTGAGCTGTAGCACTATTGTGCCTCTGCGGCCACTGTCCCAGTGAAGAGACGGTGCTGGGGGGAACCGGCTTTTGTGTTGGCTACCCTCAGCACGAGCTCCTGCTTCCCCCACCCTCTTGCTGCCTCTGACACAGGGCAAGGAGGGGGAGGAAATGCGAGTAGTCAACTACTCTTTGACATTCCTAGTAAAAAAAAACCCTCCTTTTACTTAATGCTGAGAACAGACCTTTCAGCTTGGACACTTATGCATCCAATTTAAAAGATCTTCCTGGATGAACTCCAGGCTACCTCTAAGGCAGTGTTTCTTAAACTGTGTTCTATGGAACACCAGTGTGCCGTGGAGAACAACAGAGTTCAAAATTGCCACTTTTGGGAGGGGGGGGGAGAGGAGAGAGGGAGGGAGAGGTCTACAAAAATTCCTTGGTGTTCCCCATAAAAAAAATTGTTTGATGTTCCTCAGTCTTAAAAAGTTTAAGAAACACTGCTCTAAGGGGACTTTAAACATCAGAGCTAGCAGATGGACTTCTCATCAGCAAGTAGAACAAGTTCATTTTATAGACTTATTTCTATAAAGATAATCTCACCGTCAATTCTTGTTTATGTCACCTCTTTCAGAACACAGTACAGTTAGGACAAGCCTGTTTGGTTCTGGATGGAGGAATGGTCCTTGTGATAGTAGATCTCAGAAGTGACTGAGCTCTGGGTAGC